ACCAAATCAGTATGCCTTTGCTTGGAGACAAAGCCTTACACGTGCAAGCTAAATGGTAAACCAGGCTTCAGTTGAATTAGAAATGTCCACACATGGGTTTGCACTCATCTAACATGGTTTAAAATGCATGCCTAGTTAATAAAATGCTACTTAGTAACAGAACAGGCTTCAGCCTTGAAGAAAAATGTACTTGGCCAATAGCAGAAGTTGCAAATAGGTGAACTCACTATATTCATCACAGTCTGTTGTTATCTATTTATCAACTTCAAAGTCTTTTTAAATTGCTGACAACTTTCCTGTTCTCTAAAACAAAACAAACCAAAAAATAAGTCAAATACACATATTAATTGTAATGGTAATGGTCTACAATGAAAGATAGGAAGTCAGGGAACATAGCAGTTAAGGTTTTTAGATTAACATTAATTTACACACATTGGGACTGATTAGGCTACTTAACAAGTAGTATCTGTAGAACAAAGAAATTATTTTCTGTGATAAAACTGAATGTTTGTGTTTCCTTCCTGAATGTTGTTGAAATATGTAACCTAAATGTTGTACAAGTACATACCATTTTACACTTGAACCCTAATTTTGTAATGGATGCAGGGACCAGCCCAGAAAGAGGTAAATATAAAATTGGATGCTTAGTTTACATGTGTCACACTAGTGGATATCATATCTTTACATCAATTTTCTTTTTGTGGAAATTTAACTAAAACAATGCTTGTGAAAAGTAAGCAGAATGGGGAGAAGTCTAAACTCAAATTTAACAGAATAAATCTCAAGGTGTAAAAGGCCAAAAATTCTCTTTAATAATTTTGCAGCTGTGTAGACCAGGGGTTCTCAAACTGTGGTACATATACCCCTGGGGGTACGCAAGACATCTCTGGGGGGTATGCGGGAGAAATTGTGAACTGGTGGATTTAATTTTCATTATAATCATAATTGGTATTTAAGGGTTTAAAATATAAAACAGATGCTGGTAAGGGTACATGGGTAGCTGGTAAATCTGGAAAGGGGTACACAATACAAAAAAGTTTGGGAACCTCTGGAGCAGATTAAGAAGATTCATGTATTGCTTCTAGTCTAAAAACAGAAGTCCACATTTTTTCATAAACGGTGTCTAAAAGATTCTTATTTTTTTCCCTTTTTAATTTTTGTCTTTAAACAAACAAATAATAAACCTCCAAGCCTTGAAGGTACATTTTTGCTATTTTATTTATTTTTAGGAATTGCATAATTTTTTAAACAGAAAAAAGAACTATGATAGCTTGTTCTGACTTATGCTTGTAAGATCAGAAAAAACAGTTCTGATCAAATTGAATGGAGGCCTTAAACCAGGTTGTATAGTTATAGCAAAAAGGTGTCATTAAGAAACATCGTGTATTATTTTGCCCTCGAATATTAAATTTCTATTTACACATTAAAATGTTTGTTTATAAGGTAGAGTTTTGGGTAACCTGCCCTCAATAAGGTTTCTTAGCTGGAACAGGCAGGAAGCAGGGTAGGGTGGCAGTTTAGAGATTATTAATTAATTCAGAAAGGAAAGCTTCTGCAGGTGAAATCTACTTTAGGGGTGTCAACCTCCTGCCTGCAAGCCAAATCTAGGCCATGGAGCCATGGCATCTGGCCTACAGAGCTCCCCATGGATTGGGAAATTTGGTGGTAGGAAAGGATAGCTACACCTTTCCGCTGCTGCCAAATTTTCAAGCCCCACATACCTGGATGCAGGCCCAGCCAGGTCAGTCTGTTGCCATGTAGACGGACATGGGTCCCCCCACCCAGGTTGCTGGATCCAGCCAGAATGGACCTGGGCTGTTGGGGTGGTCCATGGGCTGGATGGGCCCTTGCTATGTCTGCTCCATGCTCTGGATTGTGCTTGCTGTCTGGATCCAGCCTGCAATCAGACCTTGCACTGCCCATCCAGCCCCTAGTCTACTTAATTGGAAACACAATAGTTTATGTGTTTTTGAATGAGTTAAGTCTCCAAATTGCTACCCTGTCCCACTTTCTGCCAGACTTTAGACTAGCACGGCTAACTACCTTTCTATACTGTTAGCTGGAACAGTAAGACAATTTTGAAACTGTAAGAATCAAACCTGCCTGAGTAAATGACGAAGTATGAAGCCTCTTTTACTACTGGAAGAAAAAAACATTAAAAAAATCAGCCATTAGTGCCTTTTTCCCTCATGTTATTTCTTAATGCAGCTACTTCAGATTCTTAAAATTATGACAGTTAAAATAACAATAGTCTATGAGTTTTATTCTTTTTGTTTTAAAGGATGGGGAAGTTCAGCTATTATCAGGTAAGCCTTATGTGCGGACTTAACTTAAGCACCATTGTAGCCCCATCGAAGTTAGCATGAATATTCACACTAGTTATGTCTAACCTAGTGGTGGGCAACCTTTTTAGACTGGAGACACCCTTTGATAAACTCAAGGCACCCTCAGAAAATATCGGCTCCTAGTTTTCAAGTGTTTCTTAATGACGGAAAAATAGTAGAGCCATTCTTCCTTTGCGAAGAACTCACAAAGACTGCAATGGTTCAGTCTTGTCGTAACACTGCCAATTCCCATTTGAAACCTCTGGGTTTACTGTGCAAGTTTGGATCTGCACGCCTCACAGTGCTAATGCTGCGTGGCACCCCGTTGCACCCTTGAAAGGATTTCAAGGTACCCCAGGGTGCTGTGGCATCCAGCTGGAGAATCACCCGTCTAACCTGTCTGGGTCTGGAGGGTTGGGCCCTTGTTATTTAAGCCGAGCTTAAAGGTTGTGATGTGAAAAACCTCCTGGGTGCCCCAGTTAAGAGAAACTACATGGTGCCCCGAAACCGCTCTGACAGCATCTGCCTCAGGTGCCGGATAGGACAAGGTGGCCAATCGGACCAGTGGCCCGGGCACGAAAGGATTTGGTCTCCGACTTAGCCAATGAGGACTGCAGGGCCGCTTTCCTGTCCCTCGTCCCATCACTGAGCAGCATCCACCAGCTCCTTGGAGTCTCTGGAGGGCCAGCGGGCGCTGTCCAGTGCGCTCTGCTCAGCTCCACTTTCCCAATCCCTGATTCTGAACCCGTGACCTTGCTCCCTTCCCTGTTTCCTTGGCTGTTGTGTCCCAAGGAACTGGCCGTCGCTTTCTCAGGGGCCTCCCTCCTTAAGGGCGGCTGATAGTCACCCTTGATCCCTTGAAAGTAACAAACAGGCCTGTCCCTGCCCCCTCCTGCCTGGCTCCCTGAGGCCCCAAAGCGGGTGGGATCGGAGCCCCCATGAGAGGAAACATGCGGCCCACCCCTGCCTTTGCCTGACCAGGGACAGGCGGCTCCACGGGCGGGGCTGCGTGTGCGTGGGGCCGGGTCACGGAGCAACTCCCCCCTCGGTGTGTGTGTGCGTGTGTCTGTGCAGGCCTGTCCCTGCCCCCTCCTGCCTGGCTCCCTGAGGCCCCAAAGCGGGTGGGATCGGAGCCCCCATGAGAGGAAACATGCGGCCCACCCCTGCCTTTGCCTGACCAGGGACAGGCGGCTCCACGGGCGGGGCTGCGTGTGCGTGGGGCCGGGTCACGGAGCAACTCCCCCCTCGGTGTGTGTGTGCGTGTGTCTGTGCCTGTAACAGGGCCAGGCCCGAGCGGAGCCG